GGGGGGCGGCGGCGGCCGAGGCCGGAGCTCGCTGGAGTCGCCGCGGGGCAGCGGCTGCCTCAGTCCCTCACCTGCGAAATGGGCCCGCAGGTGAAGAGCAGCGTTCCCTCTCAGCCAGCTCACCGTTCTCTTAGCCTCTGGCACACGCATGTTTTGCCTCCTGGCGGCCGAGGCCGGAGCTCGCTGGAGTCGCCGCGGGGCAGCGGCTGCCTCAGTCCCTCACCTGCGAAATGGGCCCGCAGGTGAAGAGCAGCGTTCCCTCTCAGCCAGCTCACCGTTCTCTTAGCCTCTGGCACACGCATGTTTTGCCTCCCCTCAGGAAGGGATGGGGCTCCAGAGCAGCAGACTGATTTACGCAGCAGCCCAGTCGCTCATAAGGACATAAGAGACGCCAGTGTTGGGTCAGGCCAGCGGCCCATCCCGCCCAACACTCTGTCTGTCACACAGTGGGGGCCAGAAATACCAGGGGCCCTCCAGCAGTGGGGCCAGGACACCAGGAGCCCTCCCACTGTTGACCCCCCCCCCAGCACCAAGAAGACAGAGCACCCCTTGCCCCAGCCTGAGAGTTCCTGATCTATACCTTGGGGCTAATAAGGGCCACTGATGGACCTCTGCTCCAGATGCTTATCTCATTCCCTCTTGAAGCCCTCCATGCTTGTAGCCGCCACCACCTTTAATGCCAGGAGCTCACAAAGGAGAATCTTTGCTCACAGGACTGCACAGGCTCAGAGGGGGAGGGGGGTGGGGGTGGGCGAGCCTCTGGCAGGCAGCGCCTCTCACTGCAGCTCCTCTCCGCCCACAGCTGCCGCCGCCATGCACTTCCCTCAGCACAGCAAGCGGGTCCTGGAGCAGCTGAACCAGCAGCGGCAGCTCGGCCTCCTCTGCGACTGCACCTTCGTGGTGGACGGCATCGACTTCAAGGCCCACAAGGCGGTCCTGGCGGCCTGCAGCCAGTACTTCCGGATGCTCTTCGTGGACCAGAAGGACGTGGTGCACCTGGACATAAGCAACGCGGCAGGTGGGCAGGAGGACGCCACGGAGGAGCCCTTGGGCAGCGGTTGCACACTCTGCTGCCTCATCCAGCCGCCTGCCGCGAGGCCGACCCTTCCGCCCACCCCGCTGCCACGGGGAGGGGGCCTGCCAGAGCAGTGGCTGAGACGTGAGGCACTGGCAGGGCAGCTCTGAGAATGGGGTGGGTGGGGAGACCCCTTCCTAGCCCCCCAGGGAGGCCACTTGCGTGCCAAAGTCACCCCAAGGGCAAGGCACCTGGGCCTGTGGACAGTCCCCGCCCCATGGAGCATCCTGTCTCTGGATCTAGAGGCAGCGTGGCAGAGAGTCCCCTGGAGCCCGTGGGCGGCTGCAGTTCCAGCACCAGAGAGAGGAGGTCTTCAGCAGAGGCTGGTGAGCCACACCGGCGGGGAATGCTCTGCCTGTGGGTTGCCCGCTCAGAGCACACCCGCCCCAGGGAACCTCCTTGTTCAGTGACAGTCTGCATCACATGCTGGAGGCAGCCGAGAGCAGAGGGCTGTTGTCTTTGAGCACGCGGGTGGACTTCCTGGCTGGGGAGGTGCGTGTGCATTTTGGACTACTCCTGTTCTGGGAAACGGGACTGCTGAGCTCTGGGCTTGGTCTGAAGCCCGCAGGTGCTGCCCCCGATTGACACTCAGTCAGCCGGAGGATGCCCGGTTTCAGGAGGGGAGGCTGCCCGAGTCCAGGGCTGGATGTCAGCACGAAACAGGAGTTGCATACCCTGTAGGTGTGTGTGTGTGGGGGGGGGAGGAAGGGGTGTCATTGCTAGAGTGGCGGATCTGCTTCTGGGAAACCCAGGTTGGAACTATCCCTCTGCCATGGAAGCTCGCTGGGACGGTCAAATACTCTCAGGGCAGCCTACCCCCCAGGGTGGACGTGAGGATAAAACAGCCACTGGGGAAGAAGGTGGGGCAGAAATGCAGACAATGGAAAGTCATCCCCGCTGAGCCTCCGGTCTCGTCCTGCCATAACCCCTTTGGCCTGCAGGTCTGGAGCAGGTGCTGGAGTTCATGTACACAGCCAAGCTGAGCCTGAGTGCGGAAAACGTGGACGACGTCTTGGCCGTCGCCAGCTTCCTCCAGATGCAGGAGATCATCACCGCCTGCAACACTCTGAGGGCTCTTTCAGGGCCGGCGGAAACCAGCCCAGGCCAGGAGAGCCCCTCGCTGGCTGGTAGGTGCTGCCTCCCCCCCCCCCCGGGCCCCCCCTTTCCGTTGCGACCGTTTGGTACAGGGAAGGAGAACGTCCAGAGGCACTTTCTGGTTCCTCGGGCTCATCAGCCACAGAACGTCTGAGCAGCTCCTGAAAAAACTGTCTGGGGCTGAGCAGGGTTTCTGTGCCTGGGCTGGTTGCCCCCAAATGGCCCATGTGCCGTGGGGGAAATAGACGAGGGGAATGGCCAGGGCCCCGGCTCCTGCTCAGGGCGAGTGGTTCTGCCGAGCTTCTGCCTCGGGTGCGACTGGATCGTTGAATCGCTTTCCCTGCAGAGAGCAACTGGACTCCCCACAGAAGCGACCTTTTGTGACTCTGCACGAGTCAGTGCAGAATGTGCGGAGATGCCTCACTCAGCCCCATCTGCTGCCAGAGTAAATTCTTTCTCTCCTCCAGCAACACATGCCGGGCGAGGCAGGGTGGTTTCTGCACCGGAGGCAGAACTGGGGCCGGGGACCTTTTTGGCCCTTTAGCTGAGTGGCTCCGCTTCAGGCGGTCCAGACCTGAGACCCGGCTTCAGCCACAGACAGGGGTCGCTTGACCTTCCTCCTTCCTGCTGGTCTCCAGCTGCCCCTCCCCCCATCATTAGACAGTGTTTGGGACGTTTTAAGTGCTTCAGGTCCTTGCCAGCGAGTGACTGGTCCTCCCAGCAGCCCTGCAGGGGAGAATTCTGTTGTGCCCGGGTTACCTGTGGTGAAGCGGGATGGGAGAGGGAGCCGCCCGGTCCTTTTCCCATCCACGGTCCAGTCAGGAGAAGTCAAGAGGCCTGAGCATGTCATAGTTGGTCCCCCCCCCCCTTCCCAGGGCAGGAGAAAGCAGCTGGAGCAAATGCGGCGGTGACGGGCACCCTCTGTGAGGCAAAGGAGGCCCCCGAGGCCCCGTCCGAAGGGCTCAAGAAGGATGAGGCCGCGGATCTGGCCGAGGGGCTGGCCGGTGAGTACCGGGGGGGGAGTTAGTGTGAGCTAGCTCACAGTTTTTTCGCCTCCGGCTCACAGATTTTTGTCTTAGCTCAGGAAGGATGGCTCCAGAGCAAACTCATTTATGCAGGAGCCAAATTGCTCACTCACAACTTTGATGCCTGTAGCTCACAAAGCAGAATTTTTGCTCACAAGACTGCACAGCTGAGAGGGAACATTGGCCAACGGGGTGTGTGTGTGTGTGTGTGTGGAGGCAGCCGTGTTCCATGTACGCCCTCAAGGCTTGGGGGCCCTGAACATCTCATGATTTCCCCCAGGCCGGCCGAGATGGAGGCTGAGAGTGCAGTCCGGAGGAGAGTGGCACCTTTCGGAGCCCAGGGGCTGGGAGGGGGGCTGCTCAGTTCAGGGCTGCGCTGCAGACCCCTCTGGAGAAGGGCCCAAACGGCCCCGGGCCTGCTCCAAGCGCCTTTCTTCTTCTGAGGCCCGGGAGGGAGGGAGGGAGGCAGGCAGGCAGCCGGGGGCCCACTGAGAGGCCCTCCGGCCCTGTGATGAGGCAGGACACTCTCCCCCCCGGCCCCCCCCCGGATGATGCCAGGGTGGCTGGCCATTTCTTCCAGCAGAGGCTTCCGCCTGACCCTGGAGAAGCTGTGGCATTCCTCTCCTGAGCTGGGGTGGGCTCTGCGCTCTGTCCCCGGGACGGGCCTTGCCCCCGGCGGCCCAGGCTTTGAGACCGCTCCCCCCTTCCTTGCTGCAGGCGAGTCAGCGGGAGACAACTGCCTGGGCATGCCCGAGAACCCGCGTCCAGACAGTCCGTCCCTGGCCGACAGCAGCTCTCCTTCCAAGCCCCCCTCCTCCGGGGCCACCGAGCCTGGTGAGTGCCCAGGGGGGACATGAGCAACCTTGAGGCTTGCTGGGGGGGGGGGCTGTGCACACGACTCCCCCCGCCCCCGAGGAAGGCGAGCTCTCCTGGGGCCCCTCCTGTCTGGAGGCCATTCAGCGGGGGTGGGGGGCTGTGCCTGGGCGGAGGCTGCGGGGGGCCGTTTTCCAGTGCCGGCTGGCCTGCCTGGTCTGCGCTCTCCCTTCGGTTTCAAGCTTTTCTTGAATGAGAATGAGATTTTGAGGGCTGGGGGCATATTGTGCCGGGCTTCTGAGAGCCCCAGGGGGAAAGCAGAGACGTTTTCTTGCGGGTGCTTTCCAGGTGTGTGTTGGGGTTAGTGTCCCTCCCACCTGGTGTGGGAAATTCTGAGCACATTGCGCCGTCTGTGGAGGGGAGCCCAGGACGGATCTCTCTGTGCAGAGCGGTTGAGTCTCAAAGGGAAAAGGGCAGGGGGGAGGCGGGGGGGCACCAGCCGCCTGGCATTGGGAGCGTCCTCTGCTGTGCCCCCCGGGCCCAGGCCCACGCCCGCTTTCCCTCCGGCTCAAGTGCCCCGCCCCGCCCGGTTTGCTTCCCAGGCGCCCCAGCGCTGAAGCTCCCTGCGGAGCTGGAGGTGGAGCTGGAGGAGCGCGACAGCGAGCCCCTCTCGGAGGCAGAGGCCGCCCCTCGGACCCCCCCCGAGCCGAAGAGGGCCCAGCTGGCGAACGGCAGTGCCCCCGAGGAGAACGAGTCCGGAGGCACCGACTCCGGGCAGGAGAGCAGCGCCAGCGAGATGCGGCTGCTGCGCTCTGGGACGTACAGCGAGCGGACGGAGTCCAAGGCCTACGGCTCGGTCACGCACAAGTGCGAGGTGAGTCACGTGGGTCAGGTGGGACACTCCCCCCAGCTCCCCCCCTCCGTAGCACAGGAACCTCTCCCGTGGGGCGGGGGCGGGCCAGTGCCTGGGGGGTCTGAAAGAGGGTACCTCATGGAGCCTGGCCGGAGGGGCAGCCCCCGACTGGCTTGGTGGGTTGGTGGGCCGCCTCTCGAGAGGTCAGGCCGCGGCAGCTTGTGTGTCAGAACAGTCCTGAAGCCATCACAAAGCAAGCCGTGAAAACAGCACAACTCAAAAGAGGGAGCAGCCCCACCCACAACGCACGGAGTGGGCCTCAAACCACAGAGCACGGGGCAAAGATAAAAGCTTTTTGGCTACGAGTCTCGGTAAAATGACATGTGTTGGCCGAGTCCGGGTGAGCTGGCGGGGGCGGGGGGGGGCATTCCAGAGACGAGGGGCCGCCGCCCCTGGAAGAGCCCCGCCCCTGCTCACCGCCCGCCTCCCCTGAGCAGCAGAGGGGTGTGTGTGCTTCAGTCCAGCCCGTCCCTTGGCCCCTGCCCCTGCCCCTCCTCCGGGGTGCTTCCTGCCAGGCTCGTACCCTCCCCCGGGCCAGGAGCGAGCACCGCCAGGGCTGCTGACATCTCAGGCCGGTGGTCTCTGCCCTTCTGCTGGCCTCCCGAGGGAGGGAGGGAGGGGGCGGGCACGGAGGCTTCCCTGAGCCCCCGTTCAGCTCAGCCGGCCTCTTTCTGCAGGACTGTGGGAAGGAGTTCACGCACACGGGCAACTTCAAGCGGCACATTCGCATCCACACCGGGGAGAAGCCCTTCTCCTGCCGGGAGTGCACCAAGGCCTTCTCTGACCCAGCCGCCTGCAAAGCGCACGAAAAGACACACAGGTGTGTGGGGCGGGGCGGGGCGGGGTCTGAGGAGGGAGGGCCCGTTGGGCAAGGCTCCCCTAGGTCTGGAAGGGGGGCGGTGACCCCCTCTCCCCAAGGGGGTGTGTTTTCTTTGCAGCTGGGAGGCTCCATTTCTAGTTCCGCCTAAGAGCTGGTTTGGGGTGGGGGTGGCGGCCCCGGAGAAAGGGGACTCCTCTGCTCACAATGGCACTTGTGCTTTTGAGAAAAACTGCTGCCGCAGGCCCCCCCCCCCCCCCCCCCCCAGGCCCCCCCCCCCGCCTCCCCCCGGGGTTAAAATTATCTTGCCTCCTTGTCGTCTTAGCACTGCTGCCTGCCAGTTTGGTGTGGTGGTTAAGTGCGCGGACTCTAATCTGGGAGAACCGGGTTGGATCCCCCACTCCTCCACGTGGACCTGGCTGGATGACCTAACCCTAAGCCGTAGTTTTGGCACAGCTGTTCTTGAAAAAAGAGCCGTTTCTGTCCAGAGCTCTCTCAGCCCCACCCACCTCACAGGGTGTCTGTCTGTTGTGGGGAGGGGGAGGGAGTTTGTAGGCCGCTCTGAGACTCCCTTGGGTATAAATCCAATCTCTTCTTCTTCTTCTTCTCTCCAGCCCCCTGAAGCCCTACAGCTGTGAGGAGTGTGGCAAGAGCTACCGCCTGATCAGCCTCCTGAACCTGCACAAGAAGCGCCACACGGGCGAAGCCAAGTACCGCTGCGAGGACTGTGGCAAGCTCTTCACCACCTCCGGCAACCTGAAGCGCCACCAGCTGGTGCACAGCGGGGAGAAGCCCTACCAGTGCGACTACTGTGGCCGCTCCTTCTCCGACCCGACCTCCAAGATGCGCCACCTGGAGACGCACGACACAGACAAGGAGCACAAGTGCCCCCACTGCGAGAAGAAGTTCAACCAGGTGAGCCCGGGGCGGGCACCGGGGCACGGGGGGCGGGCGGGGGCGGCCTGGCGCTCATGGACGGTCTCTCGCCTCTGCCGGCAGGTGGGGAACCTCAAGGCCCATTTGAAGGTCCACATTGCGGACGGGCCGCTGAAGTGCCGGGAGTGCGGGAAGCAGTTCACCACCTCAGGTACGGGCGGCACCGCGTGGCGCTCGTGGGGCAGGCTGACTCGGGGTGGTGGGGGTGGTGGAGGGGCTTGTGTGGGGCATCCTCGTAGTGCCTGGCTTCCCACAGGCAACCTCAAGCGGCACTTGCGCATCCACAGCGGAGAGAAGCCCTACGTCTGCGTGCATTGCCAGCGCCAGTTTGCTGACCCGGGAGCTCTGCAGCGCCACGTCCGCATCCACACGGGTGAGCCGCGGCGGGAGGGCTGGAGGGCTCTCCTTGCAGAGGGCTGCCCGGGAGCCCCACCCCACAGCCTTGGGGGGCCTGCTTCTTGGCCCTGGTGGGTGGGGCTGTGGCTGTGGAGGGAGGGAGGGAGGGAAAGGCCCCCGGCTTGAGCAAAGGCGCCCTCTGCTGGGCAGGGAGGGAGCTGGCCCGTTGAGGGCAGTCCCAGCCGTGTGTCAGTCAAGAGCGGCCTTGTGCCCGGCTGCTCTGGCCATGCCCCGCTGCGCTCTCTTCCCAGGTGAGAAGCCGTGCCAATGTCTGATCTGTGGCAAGGCCTTCACCCAGGCCAGCTCGCTCATTGCGCATGTGCGCCAACATACGGGGGAGAAGCCCTACGTCTGCGAACGCTGCGGCAAGAGGTGAGGCCCCTGCTCGCCCCGCCCCGGTTCCCCCACACCTCCCTGGCCAGAGCCGAATGATTCTTGGCCTGCTGCCACCTGCCTCTCGGGGGGAGGGGGCGTTTGCCTGCGGCCGCCTTCACCAGCCAGCTCCCGGTCGGGTTTGACTGGCAAGCTTTCCGGCAGATCGCAGAGTGGCCCACAGGCCCCCCCCCCCCCGAAAGTGGCTGGAAACAGTCGCTGCTCAGCTCTTAACTGGCTGAGCCCTGGCCCAGGGGAGGGGGGAGTCCTGTGTTCCCCCTAAGCTGAGTTAGTGTGAGCTAGCTCACAGTTTTTTAGCCCCTGGCTCACAGATTTTTGGCTTAGCTCAGGAAGGATGGGGCTCCAGAGCAAACTGATTGATGCAGTAGCCAAATGGCTCGCTCACAACTTTAATGCCGGTAGCTCACAAAGTACAGTTTTTGCTCACAAGGCTCCATGTCTCAGAGGGAGCCTCAGTCTGCACTGGTTTCAAATGCGTTTCTGGCCCCGATTCCAGGTGCTGGTGAGAACCCTGAAAGGCGCCCCCCCCCCTGGGACCCTCAGGGCCATTCTGGGAGCTGATCTCTGCTGCAGGGCCCCTGTGAGTGGAGGACAGCTTGGCTGGGGTCCCTGCCGCACCCAGGCTCTGGCGTGGCCTCAGCCCCCCACCCTTCCCTCCCCCCAGAGAGCTTTTTAGAGTCAGGCTGCTGCTTCTGGGTTTGATGGCTTCCTTGCGGGGATGTGGCCTCCTTAATCCGACCTGTAGCTTGAAACACCCTCTCCTGTTTGCTGCATCCTCACAAGACAGCATGCGAGTTTTGGAGCCCCCCCCCACCCACTGCATGAGGCTGGGTGTTCAGACCCAACACAGAGGGAGGAGGGTGAGCGGGCAGAGCAGGGCTGTTTCCTAGCTCTTCCATCAGACAGCAAACTCCAGAATTTGCTGACTGGTTGGTACCAGTTGCTGGTGTGTGTTTGTGTGTCTCTCTCCGGGCGGAGCAAATCCCGCCTTCGCTGCCTGGTGACCTTGAGCAGATCTGAGGGCTACCGAAAGGCAGCCTCTGAGCGAGCTCCACCGTGTGGTGGGCAGCCATTCTACCTCCCGAGCAAAAAAAAGCTAGCAGCATTAAAGTTGTTTTTGACTATTTTGACTATTAAATTAGGTTTTTAGAAGATTATTTCTACAACCTTGTAAAAATCTCAGAATGGATTCTTTTAAACTATATTTAAACTATATTTTAACATAAGAGAAAACAGAATCAAGTCAAATTTCATTACAAAAAATGTTGTCCTCTGGAGAACAGGTCTACCTTCCCCTTTCCACTATGTTGGTAGACCTGGCCTTGGACTATCGCCCTGCGCTGACCCTTCGAAAACATACCAGCACTTGCGGGGATGGGGGGAACTCTTGCAGTCTGCTTTGGGTTTTTTAAATGAAATATGACAACCAGCATTACAGGTCAATTATAACAGAGGTGGAACAATCACTGTCAGAACACTGCCTAACCTAACAAAGAGGAAGTTGCTTAAATGTTATCAGCCTGCCCAAACTACTAATTTATTCAGATATTTATATCCCACTTTTCCCTGTGAGGCAATCATACTGAGAAGCATAATAGGGGTGTGGGAAAAAAGTATCTTTTCTGGCTCAGTTATAGCCTATAGGGACCATTATAGTCAATGGGTCCCATAGGCTATAATGGAGAATCAATCCAGGGATATCTGGGGCTCTGGGGGGCTATTTTTTGAGTTAGAGGCACCAAATTTGCAGCATAGCTGCTGGTGCCTCCTAACCCCCCCCCCCAAGTTTCAAAAGGATTAGACCAGGGGGGGTCGAATTCTATGGGCCCCAGAAGGAGGTGCCCCCATTCTCCATGGTTTCCTATGGAAGTTTGGTTGTGAGCTGAAGTAGAAATCTTGTGAACTGGCCTCTGAAATGTTGTGCGCCAGCACCCTCTAGTGCAGCTTAGGGGGAGTTGTGCTGAGAACTTGCTGCTCTTCCTTTGGAGTCCGGACCCAGCAAGGGCTTTGCATTCCTCCCCTCCCGTTGGAACTGGTCCGGGCTGTGCAGGCCGCCTCTTGATGCCCCTGGCCCCCCTCTGTTCCCTTCCGCCTAGGTTTGTGCAGTCAAGCCAGCTCGCCAACCACATTCGCCACCACGACAACATCCGGCCCCACAAGTGCAGCGTCTGCAACAAGGCCTTTGTCAATGTGGGGGACCTTTCAAAACACATCATCATCCACACAGGTGAGGCCTGGGCAGTGTGCGCGCGCATGCATGTGCTGGGGGGGCCTGGCAAGTCTCGGGCTAACTGGGAAAGGGAAGCAGGGGCCGTGTGGGGTGGGGGAAGACTCTTCAAGAGCCAGCCAGTCCTGGACGGGCCAAAGCCAGTGCCTGCTTCTGGTCCTCGGTTCCACACAGGTGAGAAGCCCTTCCTCTGTGACAAATGCGGCCGTGGGTTCAACCGTGTGGACAACCTCCGCTCCCATGTGAAGACAGTCCACCAGGGCAAAGCGGGGATGAAGCTGCTGGAAGGTGGGGAAGGGGATGAGCTGAACATTGTGACCGTGGCCTCAGATGAGATGGTGACCCTGGCCACGGAAGCCCTGGCGGCCACGGCTGTCACTCAGCTCACAGGTGCGTGGAGGCTCCTTCGGGCCGGGAGGGGGCTTGGCCCGCTCTCGCTCAGCTCTGGGTGGAGAATGGAGGGCCTGCCCGGGAGGCTTCGGTTTGCTTCCTGGCCTTCGTGCGTCCCCCAAGTATCTCTGTGGCTTGCTCCCCGATTCCCTGGAAACGCAAGTGGCTGATATCCAGCTAGGTCACACGACGCCTGCATCGGTCCCAGGCCCAGGTGGGGAGGGGGAGCCAAGCGAGGTGGCCGTGGGAGTGGAGTGCCTGTTCCCTCCTCTTCTCTCTCTGCTTTTTGTCCCTTTCCTTTGCAAGGTTTGCAAGAGAGCCTGCCCAGGCAGTGGCTCCTCCTCAGTCCTTTCCCACAGCTGTAGCTGCTGGGTGGAGGCGGTGGTTGCTTCCCTGCCCACAGGCACATCTCGCACCCCATATGGGCTGTGGGCAGGAGCTGTCGTCCCTGTGGGCACACCTTCTGACTGCAGTGGGTTCCCTTCCCAGTGGTCCCCGTGGCAGCTCCAGTCACGGCAGACGAGACGGAAGCGCTGAAGGCGGAGATCACAAAGGCGGTGAAGCAGGTGCAAGAAGCAGGTGAGTCCCCAAGGTTGGCTTCTGAGCTGCTAGGGCTGGGTGGCCACTAGGGGTAAGCGTTCTCTGGGGCTCTCGCAAAGCAGTCCTAGTCTGGTGGTCTCACTGTTGACCACAGGAGGGCAGCATCCCCAATGAGAGCCAGCCTCCCTTGGGGGGGGGGGGACAGGGACGGAGAAGCTTGGCAGAGGGAAGAGGAGGGGCAACGGGCGGGCCTGGGGCTCTTCTGTCCAGCTCCACTGGAGGTCATGACCAATGTTCCCTCTAAGCTGTGAAGTCTTGTGAGCAAAAATTCTACTTTGTGAGCTACTGGCATAAAAGTTGTGAGCGAGCGATCTGGCTATTGCATGAATTGGTTTGCTCTGGAGCCATCCTTCTTGAGCTAAGACAAAAATGTGTGAGCCGGAGGCTAAAAAACTCTGAGCTAGCTCACACTAACTCAGCTTAGAGGGAACACTGGTCATGACTGACTCCCTCCACATCACATCTCCCCCCCCCCCAGCTGTGCTGCAGCTTACGTAATTCTGAACATGAAGGATTAGCCACCAGGGGCCCCGTAAGCCCTCGGTCATCTTCTCACCCCTTGCCCTGTGAGAGCCAGCCAGTTTAGCTGTCTCCTCTGCTTTGTGTGGAGTACTTGCTGCCTTTGGGCTGGTCCAAAGCTCCCGCCTGCCACATTCAAAGGGTACTCCAGGATTGGGGGAGATGGAGAGAAAGGTTCAGTTTTTTGGAGTCTGGTGGTTCTCTAATGCCTCCCTCAAACTCTGTTGCCAACTCCTCGACCATCTTGCAACGGTTGACTTGCACTGTCTTCCCTCCCTTGCCATGTCAGCACCTGGCTTAGAGATCCTCTTGAAAAGTGCTGTCTGCTTTGATTTTGTGGGTTTTTTTTTTTTGGGGGGGGGGTTGTCACTTTTTTTCTTGGCTACTATCCACTATCCTGGTAACTTCCCCAAGTCTGAATAGTTCTGAAATAAACAGCACAGGGTCTAATGTGGCGGGGGGGGGGCTTCTGTTGTGTCGCAGGAGGCGGCCTCCGAGCAGTCTTATCACAGCCGCCGTGGAGGTTCCTGGGGAGGGCTTGTGGGGCTTGCTGACGGGTCCTTCCTTCTAGATCCCAACACCCAGATTCTCTACGCCTGCGACTCATGCGGGGAGAAGTTTTTAGATGCCAACAGCCTGGCTCAGCACGTGCGCATCCACACGGCACAAGCCTTGGTCATGTTCCAGGCAGACACAGACTTTTACCAGCAGTACGGAGCCACCACGGCATGGCAGTCTGAGCAGGTCCTCCACTCCGGCGAGCTCCTCTTCCGGCCACGAGACGGGCCTGAGGCGGCACCACCCTCCGTCACAGATGGCCCACAGCCTGCGGAGGCGCCTGATGCTGCGGAGTGACACGGCGCCTGGGGGCTTGTGTGTGTTTGTGTGCGTGGGTGGGTGCGATTGGACTGGGCCATCTTTGCAGTTGGGACTGCAGCTGGGTCTGCTGGGGGGCGCTGTAAGGGGGGGATACTTAAAGGAGGCAAAGCTACATCCGACTACTGTAAACAAAGATATTTCTGTATGGGAGAGAATCTACATGTGTGTTAATATTTAGATGAAATAAATGCCCTTATTTTCTACTGGTGGTTTGAAAACCAAAGGATCTGCTGCCGCTGCTGCCGGCCAGGATTCAAAGGGCCCTTTTCCCAGGCTGAAGTTTGGAGGGGGGGGGGGAAGCACAGATCTCAGCCAGAGCCCCCGTGCGCCTGCCTGATCCACTGCTGCCTCTGCCAAAAGAGATGCTTCAGCACTTGGGGAGCCCTCGGATGCCTGGGGAAGAGCTGAGCACAAGGCCCCCCCGTGGCGTTCAGAGGGGCAATGTGCTGGAGTAGGGGAGAGCATGAGCGATCCCCCCCCCCATTCCCCAGTTGATTTCCTCCTCTGACAAGATCTGGTCGGGGCTCCAGAGTGTCCTGCTGCACATTTCTTCTCCCGCAGAACGGACTGGGCAAGGCTCAGTTGCTCTCTGATGCCTTCCGGAGATTGGAAAGGACTGGCGTGTTATTTGGACCATGGGGAACTCCCCCTTTCCCACTTCCCTCCCGGCCAGAGGCTACAGCCTAAAAAGCAACCTATGGGCCACCAACCAGCCGCCTTGGAGGACAAACAAACCGGGCAGAGAGGCCGAGGCCTCCCCTGGGTTGCTTCCTGAGCGCTGGGACTCTGAGGTTAACTGCTTCTGGGTGTGGAGGGTCCCTTTAGTCACCATGGCCAGTAGCCGCTGAGGGACTTCTCCATCAATCTGTATTTGACAGCCATCAAGGGCTGTGGCCATCACTGCCTCCTCTGGCAGTGGAGTCCACATGAAGATGAGGAGGAGACTGGATTTATGCCCCATGGCCGTTCACTCGGAGTCTCAGAGCGGCTGACAAACTCCTTTCCTTTCCCTTCCCCTCCCCACAACGGACCCCCTGTGAGGGAGGCGGGGCCGAGAGGGCTCTTTGGAGGACTGATCTTCCACCTCTGATCCTGTCCTCCTCCCATCTGCAGCCTTTTTCTAAACAGCAGTGTCCTGGACTCACCAGAGACGTGCTCAGAATCCACACTCTCTGATGCTTTCCCCACAGCCTGAGATCTGTACACAAAATAGTGGCTTCGGTTTCATTTCCCACCCCTTTAATCCTCAGCATGGGGTTTGCCTCCTTCACTGCTGCCACACTGGGGGGGGGGGGGGGGGGGGGAGAGAGACGCTTGCTTTCAATGGCAGCCAAGACTTCCCTCCACCTCCCTCCTGGCCCCTTCAGAGGACATTAATGCCTATTCTGAAGGAGCACATTTCTGCTCTCACATTCGTCGCCACACCCTCACGCCCTTTCCACTATGTTGTGCACTTGCCAATTTGGAGGTGCCATCCCAAATAATTTGGTTTCAATCTGCTAGCCTGGCCACTACACTGCTCCCCCTGCCCCAAATAAATCCAGATCTTTTATGATCAGAGAGCAACATTCCTGGTGGGACCCCACGGCTTAGTCCCTCCACTGAGAGAATGGCTCATTTATTTTTATGCTTTGTTTGCAGTCACTGGACCCATTTTTGATCCAGAAGAGGGCCCCTCCACTTACCAGGAGTGCACCGCTCACTCAGGAGCCTGGTGAGGGACGCTGTCAAAAGTCCTGTAAGGCATCCAAGTATATGGTGTCCATCCAGAACTTCATTTAGCACCTTGCTTTTCAACGCCCCCGCCCCGCCCCCCCAGCCCAACAGTCCTGCACCTGCCAATAGACAGCAAGCTTCGCACTTGGCACCAGCCAAATCTTCTGCAGGAACCCATTTTTTAAACAATCCATTCCATGTAATCATAGAGCTGGAGGTTTATCTAGTCCAATCCCCTGCACAATGCAGGATATTCACAAATAACCCCCCACCCTCCCCAAATTCCATGCCCAGAAGATGACGAAAAACCTCCAGGATCTCCAGCCAAACTGGCCTGGAGAACAATTCCTTCCTGACCCCAGAGTGGCCATCAGCATTCCCCTGGGGGTGTAAGAAAGGGCCATGAGAACTGAGGACTGATGCAACCCTCCCTACCCTCCCTCTCCCGATCTGCCTCAGTTCACAGAATCTGCATGGCTGTCAGATCTAGCCTCTGACAACGTCCAAAGAGGGAGAGCCCACCACCTCCTGAGGAAGCCTCTTCCACTGAGGAACTGCTAGACCCCTAGATCCTTTTCACACATACTACTGCCAAGACAAGTCTCCCCCATCCTATAATTATGCATTTGATTTTTCCTACCTAAGTGCTATACTTTACATTTAATCCCACTGAAATTCATGTTATTGGTTTTAGCCCAGTTTTCTAGCCTGTCAAGATCATCCTGTATCCTGACTCTGTCTTCTACCGTATTTGCTACCCCTCCCAATTTAGTATCATCTGCAAATTGAATAAACATTCCCTCTCTCCCTTCATCCAAATCATTGATTAAGATATTGAACAAAACAGGTCCCAGGACAGATCCTTGAGGCACTCCACTTGGTCACTCCTCTCCAAGAAAATGAAGAACCATCCACAAGCACTCCTTGGGTGCAATCTGTCAGCCAGCTACAGATCCACCTAACAGTCAAAGGATCCAAACCACATTTTTCCAATTTGTCAACAAGAATATTATGTGGAACCCTATCAAAAGCCTTACTGAAATCAAGATAAACGATGTCTACAGCATTCCCCTGATCCAGCAAGGCAGTGCTCCCCTAAGCACAAATGATTAAGACTGAACAGAGCCTTGGAAGTATTCAACCTGTGGCACTTCCCCAGACACAATGACTGGCTGGATATGTGCAGCCACCTTCTTGCCACACAGCACACCCACCGCAGGGCTGTTTTGTATTTTTTTTAATAAAGTCTGTAATCCAATGGACACACAAAACAAAACTGCGCTGAGAAAAACAGTTCCATAAATTAATTGTTAGGGGAGGCGGAGGGGGACAAGGACAAAAGGGGAGGGGGATAAGGAATCTGCACAAGTGTATAACACTTCCACATGTGACCAGGGGATGGGGGAATGTCTAAATGAAGCGCACTTACAAATGAGTGACACATACAAAGTCCGAGTATGAAAATAAGATTTTTTTTCCTCTGAAAACACATTTTTGGCACAGATTAAAAAAAAAAGTATGTTGTGGGGATCAGATTTCTTTTTAAAGTCAGTATTATATATATATTTATATATATATATATTATATATATATATATATTTATACATACACGCACACGCACACAACCCACCCACCCCCGGCGGAGAGGGGAGGCGAAAGGGAGGCTTGCGGGAGGGACTGTGGGAGCGCTCCTTGTCCCGCCGAAAGGAGCCGACTGTCCCGGCTCCTGAGCTTCCAAGTCCGTGTGTGTATCGAGACATCCATTCAGAACGCCACAACATGTCTTCCACTGTGCAAAGGTCCAACGTCACTATTTAGTGCAAAGGCAGTTCTGGTTCCTTTTTTTTAAAATCTGTCTTGTAAATAAAAAAAATAGCCTTCCTTTAATTTCCCCCCCAAAAGGAGGCACCAAACCCAAGAGCAGTCTGCCTCGAAGAGTGCCTCCGACGTCCATCGTAGCTAAAGCCACATGTAAACATACAACGGTGGTGAGGCCACTGACCCAGTGGCACCTTTTGCTTGAGTCCCACTGAGGCCGGAGGCAGCTGCTCGGCTGTCCGTCCACACAGTGCTGCCCCTCCGCGTTGGCTCCCGTGCCTTGGGCAGACGCGTCCGCAACTGGTAAGCTGCTCAGACTGATGCGATGACAATCATTAGGTGAGGCGAAATGTTGGAGATACTGGCAAGGAGGTCTGGGGCGAGGCGAGACAGATGGCTCTCGGAGAACTCGCAGGGCGGGAAGATCTGCAGGACGTACGCTGGCTGGAAGGCAGAATCAGAGAGGGAACGCTCTCAGGGGAGCAGCCGGCAGCCGAGGCAGCCACCCCCCCAGGCCTCCACCACAACACCCGTTCCACTTTGTGCCCTGCTCAAAGGAGGGCCCCGCACCACCCAGCCACAGAGGGTCGTGAGTCCCAGGGTTCCCTCCCAGCTGAGTGAGTGTGAGCTAGCTCACAGTTTTTAAGCCTCCGGCACACACGTTTTTTGTCTCCACTCAGGAAGGAGGGCTCCAGAGCAAACTAATTTACGAAGCAGCCGAATCGCTCGCTCACAACTTTAATGGCAGGAGCTCACAAAGCAGAATTTTTGCTCGCAAGACTCTGCAGCTTAGTGGGAGCGTGGTCATGACAGAATATGCAAAGCCAAGCAAGGCGGTTGGAGGCTGGCCCCGCCCCCAGCCACAGAGTGGGAACACTCAGCTCACTGCTCTAGTCTAGCTGGGTTCCTCTCGGGCTCGGACTCTGCCCGCAAGAAGCAGCCCAAGGGTTAGGGGGTGGACGAGGGTAGTGGGGCTCAGCGCCCCCTTCACCATACCTGGTTGGAACCGGGATTGGGAACGTTGATGATGCCGGCAGCTTGCTTGGCCTGCAGGTAGCTGATGAAGGCAGCCTTCAGCGACTCCGTCTGACTGACCACGTCCTCTTGGTCTCGCCCGCAGGGCAGGGCCAGCAGCAGGCAATAATCGCTCTCCACCTGGAGGACAACAGGCCAGATTAACGGCAGCCACTGTACACCTCTGGAGACGGTTACGAAACGACTGTGGGCTCAGGATGCCCGTGTAGGCTAGCACCGACCACAGAGAACAAAGTCTTCTGCCCAGGCTGAGCAGGAAGAACCGGCATGGTCCATGAAGCCCAGAGACAGACGAAGTGGCAGGCATGGAAGCTGAGCCCCTTCAGGCGAACCACAGCGTGGGACCGCCAAAGGTGCTCCTCCCTCCTCCGCCTCCCCGATGACCCTGCCGAAGAACGCAGCACCTTGCTGGGGTCCCGCTCCGCATCCCCTTCCCCCCCAGCAGAATGCCAAGGACAAAGTCTCCTCTGCTCTGGGGCCCTCTCTTTAGGGAATGCCCTTGCCCGCCTCGGCTTGGTTTGCCCCGCTGCTGCCAGAGAACCAGGAGCCACAGGCTCCCCCCCCCCTCGCCAAAGGCCGGTCCGGCAAGAGTGAGATCCCCACGCGCCACTCACCATCATCCTGCGTGCCACGCCCTCCAACTGGGATGCTTCCAGCCTCATGCGCTGGGCAATGCGCAAGGGAGGCCCCCCTTCGGGAGCAGGCAGGGAGCGATGCGCCAGGACGTTGTTGCCAGAGACAAAGTGCAGCTGGACCGCGGCGGTGTCATTCTTCAAGGCCAAGAGGCCCTGCCACACAATCGGGTACTTCTGCAAAAACGGGGGACAGGGAGGAAGGGGGTGAGTGCCCAGTGCCAGGGCCACGGGAGGGCACGCGAGGAGCCCTATATGGCCGGCACAGGACTCTGCGGCAGAAGGGGAGGGGCCTCGTCTCCTCCTTGCTGCAGACCAGCATCCCACTCTGGAGAGTTCGGCTTCCCAGACCTCTGCTTGGTGAAAGTGTGCAGCCAACTCCCCCCCCCACGCTATCCTCCTTTCGAATCTCCCCCCCCCCCCAGTCACCCGCTGACCCTGCCCATCCTTGGGCTTCCTCCCCACAACTCTCAAGACGAGATGAAGCAGACGCCAGAGCGAAACTTACCGTCAGAAGCTGGACCATGTCCACTGGCCTCTGAGAAACCGGGTCCTGTTTGAGCGCCGACTGAGGTTCCGGGCGGGAGAGTGACAGTCCGGGAGGGACGCCGGGACCGGTGGTGGTCGGGATGAAGAGGGCGGCCTTCTGCGCGGCCTGGGCCTGGTGTGGGGAAGGGAGCTCCTGCTTCACAGAAATGGCCACGGGAGAAGGATAGGAGGCCGGGCCTGCCTCTGCCGGGGCTCTCGGAAGGTGCACGTGGGCCTCCATCGGCGGGACGTGCCGGCTGACAGCCGAGTGGTGTGTCAGCTCCGGCCCTGCCGCCTGAGCCCCCTTGGGCTCCTGGGAGTGCTGCGGCGTTTTGCTGTGAGCCGGCTGACTCGGATGCGAATGCTCCCCTTCGGGCAGACCCTGAGAGGCACGAGAGGAAGCAACACAATCAAGGCAAGGCGGCGCAGGGCCCCTGACGGGCCACCCGAATCTACCACTCGTTACTCTAGCCAGATGCTGGGGAGCAGGCTCAGCAAGCCCCCCCCCCCCCATGGCTGACCATGACAGAACAACACACGGCCCTGAGACCTGCACGGCACAGGCTAGCCTGACCTCATCTGACCTGGGAAGCTAAGTAGGGTCGGCCCTGGCTAGTGTTCGGACAGGAGACAGCCCAGGAAGACCAGGGTCGCCAGGCAGAGGCAGGCGATGGCAAACCACCTCCGAAGGCCTCTTGCCTTGGAAACCCTCTGGGGATGTGGCAAGGCAAATGTGACCTGAGGGCATGTTTTACACCCACCCCAGTCTAAAAACAAGCCATCAAACAAAGGCAGCATAAAAACGATCCATACAACAGAAATGACAAAGATGAAGCTCTTGGTTAAAAGCCTGAGGAAGAAGGTGTCTTCTGCCTGGGTGCCTAACAGAGAGTCAAGGAGTTCAGCCTCCAGGGGAAGCGCCGCCCAGAGGCCACCACAGGAAATGCCCTGTCTCCTCTAGTCGCCACCTGAGCCACCTCTGGAGGGTAGGCCTGCTCGGGCCTTCTGCTCCCCCGAGGGCTGGGATCCTTCTGGGGCTCCAGCCGGCACCTCTCCTGACAGTGTGCGTGTGTGGATTGTAAACACAGCATTCTCTGGCTTCCAGTTCACCCCCTGATTTTTTTAGTCCCCTACATAAGCCCTCTTTAGATACGATGTCCACACGAGCCAAGAGCACGTGCAGCCCCCACCCCCTCCCCGTGATGTTCACAGGCAAGAAGAGTTCTTCAGAGGTGTACAGCTTCCATATACGTGAACAGGTTCCACTTCCCGTGCATGGAAGCTATATGTGCATGGAAAACCCACCCACAAACGGCCAGTTCACATCACTCCAGATACAAGCTGATGATGGGCTCACTGCTCCCACGGACGTCGTCGCTGGAGATGGCCACTGTCTGTTTCTCTTTTGGAATGGCAGCCCTCACTCCCACCAAACCCACGCAACAGCCCGACACTTGCGAGAGCCGCCGCGCCCCCC